CCCGCTGTTGTCGCCACCAAGTCCACCATGTCACCTGTCGCCAAGGTCGCCTCCGCAAACTTCTCCTCACGGTGAGAGAAAAAAGTTTTCCCCGCCCTTAGCTTTCCTCTTCTCTCGCGCGATCGGCGCGCGGGCCGGTGGGCGTGGCCTGGGGAGCGGTTGCCGCGGCCCCGCCCCCAGACGCTGTTTGCCCCCCCCCCCGCATCGGTGAATGGGGGGAAGGGAGAAGAGAGGGCAGTTGGGCGGGGCTCGTCTCCTGCCGCACCCGGATAGGAGGCGGCGGAGCGCGTCACAGGACGTGCCCGCAACCTGTGGAACTCACCGCCACGTGATGCCGTGACCCTTCTGATCCCCTCACCCTCCCCGGTTTTGATGGCTTTAAAAGAGAAGTCGAATGCAGGGAGGAGGAAAAGGTCTGTTTGAGATTTTTTTTTTCTTTAAGCGAAAGCCTGGACTTACAGGGTATGTTAGCCTAACAGGGTTACTTAATTTGTGGTTATGTTTTTTATGATAGGTTTGCCAAGGGGCAAGCCGAGGTTTTTCAGCTTCTCAAGAGGCTACCCCCTTTGAGGAGCTCATCGCGATCTTTAAATTCATTTTTTTTCCGAGAGCGCTTGGTCAGATTTGCCCTTTTATCGGTTCTGATATTCTCGATCTTTTAGAAGATTTCATTAACTGAAACGTGATTTTGGGCTAGCAGGGTCTTGGGCAATAAAATAAGATACTCTTCTTTCTCTACAAATAATAAATCGGCTGTAATGACTTCTGCGTCTCAGCAGAAGTAATAAAAGCGCTTCGTGTATTACAAAGTTGCTACTTCTTAAATCAAAATAACGAGTTAAAACATGTTGGACCTGTAGCGTTGTCATGACTTTTTAATTTATGTTCTTTTATCCTTGGCCATTCGCCTTACTGCCCTGACCTTTAAGGAACTGAAATCAGAAAATGTCTGATGTGTGGTGAAGACATCCTTGTGTAGTGAGGACAGGTGCAATATAAATATCTGAACTGCAAGCGAGCCAACCAACCATGGTTTGGCTAAAAAATTAGATTGAGAAGAGCATTGTCCTGGTGATCATGGTTAGGTGTTCCCCTTTAATATATGTTGTATTTACATGGTGAAATGAATCCTGGTTTGCTCAATTCATTTAATTTTCTAGTGCCCTTTCACTTGTAATTTACACAATAATAAAATTGGATTACGTCCTTTACACAGTTAGGGGGTCTCTCTTAATTTAATGGGATTTTCTTTTGTGAAGATGAATAAGGAAGATTATATTGTACTGTAGATGGCTTATAAGGTGTTTCATTATACTTTGTTTACATAATAAAATGTTTAAAAATAAGATTACAAGAAAATTCTAATTTTCTACATTGAAAGAAATTATCTACTCTGTTTTGACCTTTTGGGTTGTTAATCTTGATTGCTGAATTCCAAATAAGGCGTCTCCTTCATGTTTATATGATATTTAAGCCAGAGCAGTAGATTAATGCAATATACTAAACCTGCTCTGGAAAGCAAAAGAAAAAAAAAAGATAAAACTAGATTTGAAATTCATCTATTGTACAGTATTTTTGGTTCAGATTTCATAAAAGTAGCTTCGCTATTTCTAAGAATAAAGTCATTTGACTTTATTTATACTTACAGCTCTTTGTGTACAAAAATATCTTTAGAAAACTGGAAGTTGGCATGAAGTGGGAAAGCAGACTTTTTATATTTGCTATTTGTTTTGACTTGAAGCTTTTAGATGAGTGGGTTACTGCCTTATTAACTTCAAAAATATTTTATGGTGTACATTGATTCAATGAAATTTCTCAGTAATGTTGGAATAAGAAACACATATTTGGTACAGGCAATTGAAAATTTGAAAATATTACCAGCTTGTTTATGGCAGGCACTAACACATTTTTTCTACATCTTTGATGTCGAAAATTTTAGTATGAGACTATTTCTAATTATAAGGTAAACAAGCAAGAATGAAAATGTGAATAACTGTGAACTTTTTTGCCATCACATTGAAGTAATATCTTAGTTTTCAGGCCAAAGGATGGATGACTGAGAATACACATTAATTTTGAGGCATCTGTTTTTAATCTTATTTTAATGAGAACTTTCTCACTAAAAAAAGCGATAACACTGTAGTTAGGTTGTTATTGGGGAATAAATCCCATTAATCTCGGTGAGTCATGCTTAATAATCTTTAAGGTTTGGGTTGGGTTTGTTTTGAATTGTGGTTTTTTGGGGGGGAGGGTTAAGAATTCTAGAGGGATATGATTGCATCAGCTAAAATTGATGTTCTGTTGATAGTTTTATATAAAACATGATATAAATTCACTCTTTAAAGCATTCAAGAATTAAAATATAAAACCAGATTGTTGGTAAATGAATTCAATGCATTTTGTATAGTATTGTTTATAAATTGCAGTGGTATATTGCTGATAAGGAATCTTACAATCAATCCTGCTGGCAGTACATAAGTACTATTAAGTGAAATGTATAAATTAATAAGAAATGCATAAATTAATAAATGTATAAATTAATAAGATTTTTAACAGATATGCTTTTTGGTTGTAATTTTTCTGTGGTGAGTCAGGGCAAGCCGAAATCTTGTTTTGATTATACATCTTTCTTTTTGCTTTTATTATAATAAACGTTTGTAGGTCATCAGCTGAAGTTTGTGAAAGGAGTAAAAAAGCTTTTATTGCGAAACCTTAATTTTGAAAGTGTTTTCAAGCAGGTTCACTTAATAATCATTACCTTTTTTAGGCATCAGGTAAAAATATTTTTCCCTCTTAAATATTTTTAGACATTGCATTATAACAATTTTCTCAGGTATTGAAAATAGGGATTGTAATAATATCACATTTGCTTATAGCTGTTAAACATATGTATTATATTGGTATTGTAGCGTTTTATTGTTACATTTTCAACTTACTTTGTGTGAGCCTTCCTGGAATTTTCTTGAAAAAGGATATCATAGAAATAAAATATTTTGACATTAAATTTTACTTCAGCAACTCTGTTTTTTCCATAAGTTGAATCATGGGTTAGTTGTAATTAGAGAGTACCTATTGGAAGACCCATTGATTTAAGTGCTTTTGTGCTAAAGGTATTTGGATCTCAATCCAACCCATTGTTTTGTTTACTGTGTGGAGATTGGGACTTTTTCCCCTGACCAAGTTGTTTCTTTTAAAGGGCTTCACCATCATAGTTATGGCTTGGTCTGGAATCATCAGTTTCAGTAAAGTAAATAGATGGAGGACAAAGAATAGGTCTATCAAAATGTCATTTTACTACCTCATTAAATTAGTTGAAATAGCAAAGACAAATTTATGTAGATAAGGCCAAGTAAAAATATTAGTTTGTCTCTATGATATATAACAACCAGCTTGGTATTGTCTGGCATTTCTTCTATCAAGGACATCGTATCATGGAAAAAGCAGTGTTCGCCTGATGGTTATGTTATACAATGATGAGTTCAGTTCTGTAATTCTTATTATGTTGTGATTTTTAATCTGAAGAGGAGAGAATTCCCTGTATGCTAGAACATTTGGAGGTGAATATTTTATTTGTTATTTTATTTTTCAAATAGAAAAAATAGTGACATTTATATTCCTCCTCAAGGTCATGTTTGTATTCTAAAATACCTGTTAAATAAACACACAAACATTTACATAAAAACAAGTTTTCCAAACTCTTTCATTTTCATTTGTTTGTATTTCATCTGTGGCTTGTATTTCTTTAATCTTCCAATGCTTTAATTTTTTTATTAGTAAAAAAAAATTATTAGTAAAATATCAGTAAAAAGAAAGAAAAAAAGAATAGTGACTTGAAATCCAAGTAACAAAAGAAATGCACCATCAGATGCACCCTCACTTGCATTGTTGTATCTGCTGTAGCTTGCGGCTTAATGGAAAACCCTTGCTTTTCCCCATAGGTTAGTATAGTCCAGGGGTAGGCAACCTTGGCTCTTTTATGACTCGTGGACTTCAACTCCCAGAATTCCTGAGCCAGCCAAGGTGTCCTACCCCTGGTATAGTCTCTATATTGGTAAAGCCAACATATGTTTATAAAATGGCATATTAACTGGCTAGAGGTACTGATAGCAAAAACAATAAGCAGTTCCCCAAATACATAAAACATGGATATTGTCTGTTACAGGTTTTGAAGGCAGGAGAGAAAGACACCCATTCTTCACATTGGAGCACTTTTGAAAAAGCTCGCCTCCATGGAAGAGGTACAAGATTTAGCAGAACAGCCAGTGAGTATACAAAAGAAACAACAAAAGGGAGAAAAAAAAGGGCTTTCTCTTTCTATGGAATTTTCTAGAGAATAGCTCGTGCATCTTATTTTGTTTGCAGGTGTAAAAAAGCAAAGGAATGCAGCACAGATATACGATTGAAATATAAAGTGGCTTGCTAATATTTCAATATGTAAAACTAGTTAACTATTTCAGACATATCAAACACAAAGCCCACAGGCCAGATGCAGGCCGGGGAGGGCCCAGATTTGGCCCCCCCGGGGCTGTCCCAGAAATGGCAAGGGACCGGTCCCCGCTACCCTAGCCCTGGCCCACCGCAACCCAGCTGGGCGCCTTGGAGCACGGGCAGGAAACAGCAAGCACTGGGGCTGGTGGTGTGCAGCAGTAGCTCATTTACTTTAGCCCGCCCCTTCCCTCCCAGCTTAACCCCGTCACGCCCGGCCATGCCCCACTTTTCTGGGCTTCTCCTCGTGTGGCTCTGCTTTGCCAGGCCAGAAAGGGTGAGGAGAAAGCAGGAAGGGTTTCTGTGTATGTGTGTGTGAGGGAGAGACACACACACACAGAGAGAGAGAGAGAGAGAGAGAGAGAGAGAGAGAGAGAGAGAGAGAGAGAGAGAGAGAGAGAGAGAG